AAATGGAGGACTTGAAAAAAATTGCTTATATTGAGTTTCAGCTTACTCTTAAGATAATGTATATGTCTAAGTAGTTGATTAGGAAAAAAATTAAGACTAGTACAAAGGGGAGGATTTTTAAAACAGAGAAACAAATTGAAATGCAAGATATTTTTATTTATTTTTACCTTTACCTCAGTCCTTAGGATCTTTCTTTTCTGCTACGAAGACCCCAGAGTTTTGGGAGAACTCTCACACGGTAGCTTTATGTTTATAAAGCATGGCTTGGTAATTAAATTATAAGCAAAGAATCCAGACTTGAAATTCAATTGTTAAAATTATCATTTTAATTCTCCTATTTAGAGTATTCTTAAATATTTCATGAGTTCTGCAATATTAAAAACTGCTAAATAGTTCATTTAGTTCTTCTAATTAACACAAAAGGTTCAAAGAGAGCTGCATCAGTAACCACGGTGATTAGCAAGGTTTTGGATAATAATAAACCACATGCACCCTCCAGGTCCAAGTACTGGCCTTCATAGCAGTTCAGAAAATGCTTCCAGGGTTACCATTATCATTTATAAAAGGGAATTTCAGATAACTGGTGGTGAAGAGTGGTGGTTAAACTTTCAGTCTCTGACATCAAAGTACAAATCTCAGCTGTGCTTATTAACCCCCCTGAATGACCTTGAGCAAGTTCCTTACTGTTTCTTTACCTATAAAATGGGCAGAATAATATAACCTCATCCATAAATCTATTGTGATATTCAAAGTCAACAGTGGATGGCTAGAGCTCCATAAATGTTTGCTATTACTATTAGGGCAGTTTTACAGACACCAGAATAATCAGTCCTGTTAGTTAAAATGGGAGGTCTTTTTTTCATGGGTATCCAAAAGCTGTCCAAATATTTCCTTCCACCTGAGGTCTCAGTTGGTTTTATTTTGAGCCCCTTTTCAATGCCAGTATGGATGCCCTAAAAGAGCACCAAAGATGTTCATAAAATTCCCTTTATTTATCACTGACCCTGACACAGAGGCCTCTATCAAAACCCACAGAACTGTCAAGCATTCATCTTTTATGTTAGCTTTTTTCTCTTCCGAGTTATCTTTTTCTTACCAAAGAGTTAAGTTGTTATAGTTGAGATCATTCAAACTAACTCTGTAGTAGATAAGGTCAGGGCTCTTTTCAATGATTCTTACAAGAAGACAATTGGAAGTACAAACAAGGCTGGAGTCTACTATTATTAAGCTGACACTTCAGGGAGAATGCTAAATGAACATCAAAGCCTCTTCACCTTTCCTGATCCCCTCATTCCAGAGAGCAACTGACACCTTGCCCTGTCATGATAAGCTCCTCACTAGTTAGCCAAACACTTGGCAAGTGAACACCAATATTAATGCTGCCAGGTTTAATAATCAGTGTTTGCACTGCTGTTAAATAGATATTAATATTATAATTGGGTGACCTCTGCTCCTTTATTCTAAAGCTACATTTATCCTAGGGACAAGACTTAATTTTCTTACATGTTTGAGACTGATATCCAATGTTAAGTGAAAACTAGGTGAAACTATAGGACCCGTGTCTAGATATATTAATCCCATACTGTTACTTAGCTTAAACCTTTAATTGTATCACTGAAATGACTCTGCTAAACTATTCCTATCTCCGTTCTGTAATCTCTGCATTTTTCTTAACATAAAAATATAATAATCTTTAAGATGCTTTCTGATTCTGATAATAATGCTAAGTACATATTTCTATTCTAACTGGATATCCAGGCACAAATGCTAGAAGGAATAAGAGAATGAAAAAGAAAAGAATGGTAATGAATCCAATACTTCAGAAATAAAAGGCAGCATAGGACACTTCCACTAATTATCTGAAAAGGGAGATTAAGACCACTGGCACCATTTGCTTCTCATTATAGATCAAGGACAAGGACTATGACATCTTTATGAGCTTCCTGAGTTTATAACTTATGGTTTCCCCAGTATTTGTTCATGATTGTTTTTGGAGCACCCTGTAATGATTACTGCTAAAGCCCTTGAAAAGAGAATGCAGTGTGTGTTGGTTGATCGTATGCAAGGACCTGTGACAAAATAAGTTGGAGATTATATCTGTTCTGCAGTGAATTCCACATACAGAGGATCTCACAGACTATAGCAGATCTATGGAAAGGGAAGTCAGCCTGGTTTAGTCCTTCAAAGGGGTGGCTTTGAACCTGGTAAAACACTCCAGTCTATAGGCAAATATCCAAGTCCAGTAACACTGAGCATTTTGCAACACAGTCGTCTGCTGGCCTCCCTTCACCTCTTGGTTCCTAACCTCATCTCAGCTCCCAACCCTCCACCTTTCTCTCAACCTTCCTCAGCCTCACACCTCCAACCTGATTCATTAAATACCTTATCTTCTAAACTAAATTCATCTCCCTCTTCTCCTATCATACACGAAATACCTATCTGCTGAATCTCTGGAAACCACAGGACAGAGACAAATTACAGATCTTAGCTATAGAAGCAAGCCAGAGCTTAGCTAGAAAAAGGCCCATTGATTTATCTGATTTCCATAGGAAAAACAAATTCAGATAAAATTGATCTGTTAGGTAGGTTTGTTTTTTTTTTCCCAATATCCACGATTGACCTTTAAAAACAATTATCTGGATGTTCAGCATCATACTGATACAGCCATAGCGCCATAGCATTATAATTAAAAGCAAGACTCTGGGGTGCCTAGGTGGCTCAGTCAGTTAAGTGTCCGACTTCAGCTCAGGTCATGATTTCACAGTTTGTGGGTTCAAGCCTCGTGTCGGGCTCTGTGCTGATAGCTAGCTGAGAGCCTGGAGCCTGCTTCAGATTCTGTGTCTCCCTCTCTCTCTGACCCTCCCCTGCTCATGCTGTCTCTCTCTCAAACACAAATCAATGAAAACATTAAAAAAATTATAAAAGCAAGACTCTAGAGCTGCACTGTCCAGTGAGAAGTCCACGTGTAGCTATTGAGCATTTAACATGTGGCTAATCCAAACTGAAGTCATAAGTATAAAATGAACAATTTTGAAATTAGTACAAAAAAACAATGTAAAGTATCTAATGAATACTTTGTATACTGATTAAATGTTGTAATGTTTTGTATATGTTGAATTAAAATATATTAAGATTACTTTTTACTTTTTTAAACCTATTAGAAAAGTTAAAATTATTGTATTTCCATTGGACAGTCCTGCTCTGGAATATCTGCCTTGCTTCATTCAAGCTCTACTATATTCAAGCTAAGTGTTCCCAAGCGGGCTAATTTCCTCTTCTGTGAAATGAAAATAATAATTCCTGCTTCTTAGGGTGCTTCTTTGTACTGCTGCATCATCAAATCAATGCACGTGAGCTGTCCCTTGGAATAGGGCCTGACCTTGAATAAGCAATATTCTTCAGCCTAGGCAATCCCCAAAGAGTCACTCAACTGAAAGCCAAGCCACTAATAATCTTAGCAGCTGGAGGATTGAATGACTGCCTCTCTGGGCAGTACATCATGGCATCCACAACAGCTTCTGCTTGTACAATGGAGCATGTATGTTCAGTGGAATCTGGGTGGCTCCATCAGTTAAGCATCTGACTCTTGATTTCAGCTCAGGTCATGATCTCATGGTTCATGAGATTGAGCTGACAGCAAGGAGCCTACTTGAGATTCTCTATCCTCTCCTCTCCCTGTCCCTCCCTGACTCTGTCTCAAAATATACATTTAAAGCAGAGCTCTTCCAGAAAAGTAACTGGGCACAAAATGAGGAAGCATATCTTTGTCCCTGATAGAATGTACTTAACATGATAGGTAGTAAATATCTAATATATTTAGTAGATGAATATAAACTAAGCATTGAAATAAGACATATGAAAGGCAAATAGCAATACTAAGCAATGCATATGAAATGCCTAATGAGTAATATGGAATAGGTAGAAACCATAAGGGTTTAGTAAATTGAATGTTTATAAAACAGATATTCCAAGCAGGAGATACAAAATGAGTAGCATTTAAAGAAATTAATCCAGTTAACATACTTTCAGGACACACATAGACCAATTTGGTTGGAAAGAAGTTTCTATAGGAAGATACAGGAGGTAAAACTAGAAACATAAATAGGAGGCAGACTCTAAGCTGCCTCATTCCTAGATGGTAAGCCCACTTTAAGCTTTGGTTCTAGGGAGGTAGGGTGGTAAGTACACAGAGGTAATTTGGGAAGATGAATGTTGCAGACCATGTCAAAATACTCTCTTTCACCTCTCTGAGACTCTGTACCCTTTGTAAAGCTGTGCTGATCTAATTATTTTTACCCTGTATGCTTTTACCCTTATATGCTACTTCTCCAACTTTATTAATAATTAGCTCTTCAATACACGGGAAGCTCCCTAGGATAGGGCTTTGGTTCAGAAGATCACACGTGAATAAAATCGGGAAAATATACATATACTACTAACTTTTACTGTTGAGACACACTAACAGATCCTATGTAGAAAGACTGGTGATATGTGATTAAGTGATTATCAGATGCTTCTAAAGTTGCACTAAAATGTCCAAATACAACAAAAAGCATTAGAAAATGTTGTAGGGTCAATAAATAGTTAATAATATAGCCCATTGAAATAAAAATTCTGCATGCCTGGGTAGCTCAGTGGGTTAAGCATCTAACTCTTGATTTCAGCTCAGGTCATGAACTCATGGTTGTGAGATTGATCCCCGGATCACCTCTGTAGGGAGTCTGCTTGGGATTCTCCACCACCATCTGTGCCCCCCTCCTCTTTCTCACTTGTTCTCTGTCTCTTTCTCAAATATAAACAAACATTAAAAAAAAGAAAATTAAAACGAAGATGCAACTGAATGAAGCTATGCTGCCTATAAAAGTTGTAGAAGTTCTTTAATCTCTTTTTAGCTTTAAAGAATAAAATCAGAAACTTTATCAAAGATGATGCTTTACTTAAAATGTCTTTTTATCCTTTAACTGGGGTCTGTGTTGTTTGTTTGCCATTGGTTTCCTCAGACTCAGATTAGTCCCAAAGAAGGGTGGCAAGTGTACAGTTCAGCACAAGATCCTGATGGACGATGCATTTGCACAGTGGTCGCTCCAGAACAAAACCTGTGTTCCAGGGATGCCAAAAGCAGGCAGCTTCGCCAACTTCTGGAAAAGGTACGTGTCCTGCCCTCCATGCATTTTTTAAAAAACCTACCATTCCTTGAAAAGTAAATGCAGGAAAGCAAGCAATAATGAGGAAGGGCCTTCCAATTTTTGTGCACCTTAAACTTTTTCCTTCCTTGAAAGGAGTACCTCAAGACTCATGCTCTACTGTTCTATTTACATTACTTCTTACTTTTCTCAGTCTTACCTTAAGACTGGCTTCTATCATATACCTTACTCTCCAGTTAGTCTCTCCTTAATAAAAAAAAAAAAAAAAAAGGCAAGTAGTCTTATTCCTATGCCAGAAATTTATTCTCAATTCCCAGGATCACACTAGGCTCTTTGAGCTCATGCATTTGAATCACATTAACAACCTTGCAAGGAAGTTAAAATAATAGAATGCAATATGCAAGCTATCTGAACAGATAATGAATAATTTGAAGTATTTATCATCATTCTCTAAGTCATTCCTTTGAACATTAAGCTCTTCAATTTCATTCAATAGCAATCTCTCCATATAATTTACTTAAGCTGATCCATAACTATCAAATGCAGAATGCCTTTGATTTATTCTTTTTTACAGATAAAAGTCAGCTCATGAAACATTATTTATGTTTAGTTCTAGGAGGAAAAGAAAACAATGAATGGTTCTTTCAATTATTGTCATTCAGAATCTCAGTGTGTTAGGCTCTGAATATAGTAGGACAGCTGGGTGGCCAGACTGATGGAAGGAGGGCAACATGTGGGAATTTTAAGTGCCTTCAGAGATAATAAGATAAATTAGGTAGTATGTGCTTTTAGAGGACATCATGCTCAACCATTCACTCAGTACAGTATCATTTCTATGATCATTCATACAATGATGACATTGAATAGGAACTTTAAGGAAAATTAAGAGAAGCTAGAAAAATGAAAGCATCAAATTTGTTAATACAGACATGCCTACTTTATGCAATTTCAAGCCTAGCAACAGTAACTTTCTTCCACTGCCATGTTATGAAAATAAATTTCCTCCACGTACATTATTTGGAAGTCTATTGATGCTGTAAAGTTTTAGGAAAGCTTCTGCTTGTTTTTATACAATGATGAGTCATTTTTCTTCCCCCTCTCCTTAGAGCTATCATCAATCAATTGACTCTCTCAAGTCTCCTTTTATAAGATCCCATCTTCTCTGCTCCTTCAGTATCTGTCCCCCAGACAAAAGCAAATGTCATTTTCATTCAAGTTAACGATTCTAGCTAATGGGAGTCTCAGCTATTAGAAATCATGACATATGAACTGCGATTTTTCTTGGGCACAGCTTACTAGTCTTGACTTTATTTCTATGAAAAAAATCCAAATATATAGTTTAATATTGTTTAGTTACTAGGGAAATTACATTAGTAAAAAGATTTAATCTTTTAAATCTAATTTTGCTTTTCTATTAAATTCTATTTCCCCTCAAATTATAAACTTTCTGCTCTTATATTCTTTTTCCATGCAAAAGCATTTTTCTCTATCAACTATAGTGAGAAACATTCTTAGATACTATACCCTTATTTGTGTTACCGCTTTTCAGTATAGCATTATATAGACACACACACACACACACACACACACACACACACCATACAGATTCAGATATCTTTTCTGAATATGTTAAGAAAAACAGAAAACAGATTTCTTCTGAAATCAGTTGAAAAAGTTCAAGTGTCAGGAAGTGAGTAATACCCTCTACAGGTCCAAAGTGAAATGTACTCCAGAACTATGAGAAAACTGGTAATTAGTGTAGTATGAATAAGGCAAAAAAAATAAATACAACCAAGAAAGTTGACTAAAAGCAATCACTGAAATGTATATGACCACTTCAACTAATATGCAATTTGTTTAATGATTTAAAGAAGTTCGAGGAAAATCAGACCTTTAAAAAATCATTGTATCTAAATAACAAACCCCACAATATAAACAAAATCTAGATGTGTACAAGTTATGTTTAATAAATTTACCATTTGAGAATATTATAGGTCAAGGGGGATAGTAAATTATGTACATTATTTGGAGTGGGCTGAAGGAAGTAAGTAGCACGGATTTGCTGCAATGACCCAAAGAAAAGCCATCTAAGCACTCCTTATCCAGACTGAGCCAGTTTCCTACTGACTTCTCTATAGTCTCACAAATATCCAAGGCACCAGATGGAAAACAGGAGCCTGAGTTTAGGCAGCCCATTCACCATTAACCAAAGAACTAATTTAGTCATATAATAAGGAAAGGTTTTTAAAGTTTTATTTATTTGAGGGAGAGAGAAAGAGAATCCCAAGCAGACTCTGCACTGTCAGTGCAGAGCCCGAATGCAGGCCGTGAACTCACAAACTGGACCATAAGATCATGACCTTACCTGAAATCAAGGGTAAGATGCTTAACCAACTGAGCCACTTAGGCACCCCTAAGGAAATGTTTTTAATAATAATATTGATAACAGTATTTCCCATATCTGTATCCACTGCATTCAATCCTCACAGCTTAGGTACCTGCCCTTCTATGTTTACATAAAAAGAAACTGCTTTTTGAGGTTCAAGAACCTACCAATGTCACTCCACCAGATTATGGGGCTTTACCGGCTCAGTTCTGCGTTTTCTCAACATGATGCTAGTGTCATCCAGAATGTCACTGGTGGTACCCGCACTAATTTAAGCAACCAGTATCTACATTACTTAATAAAGAATTACAATTGCATCTATAATATCTCAGGTTTAATATGCCCAAACTAAAACTGTTCATTTAAAAAATGTTGTTTAGCAGGGCACAGGTAGCTCCATTGGTAAACATCCGACTCTTCAGTTCTGCTCAGGTCATGATCTCACAGTTTGCAGGATTAAGCCCAGCATCTGGCCCTGGGCTGACAGCAAGGAGTCTGCATGGGATTCTTTCTCTGCCCCTCCCCTGCACACTCTCTCCCTCAAAAGAAATAAACTTTTAAATTTGTTAGCTGTGTAGCTTCTCCATACAGTTGAAGATGTCCTGCATTGCCGAGGACAGTATCTGCTAAAGTATGATTTTTGTAATAGGATACCAGTGAGTGACATCCTCCCAACAAAATGATTTTAAAAAACACATTATGATACATCACTCCTGAAGATTTCTGCCACACGGTTTAATACTAAAGGTTCTGTGAAGACCTACAGCAAAGAACTTTAGTTGTTAATCCCAAAGTTATCCAAACATACTAAACTGTAGTCCATTCTTTTTCCAAGTAACCTCCACATTAATTATGAATTAGACTGAAAATCTAAGTTAATTTGTTAAGTTCACAGAACATTTATACACAGAACCAAGATAAATAGTTTAAAAAATTATTGATGAAGGGAGACAATGAGCTTGTCAAACAACTGTAGAGAAGGGCTAAGCACAGGGACACATATGAAAAACCTGTAGAATAGCAGAGATAAAAAGCTTCAAAGAGGAACCACAGCAAACGGATCTCCTTTCTACAAGTGTTAACTATGGGAATCTAGTCTCAGGTATCATCAGGAAATTGATACTGGGAGTGGGTCTCTGTAAACAGTGGGAAACTAAACATTCCTAGGTATAGACACAAGGAAAAGCAAAAGACAGCCCAGAGCCAAAGCCTCTCCAATTAGACAGCTCCATCTCTATCCATTACCCCACGTGCAGTTCTTATAATTATGTATATTTCTACAATATAGAAGGTCACAATCAAGTGTCAGCAAAAATTCTCCCAGTGCATTTGCTCACAACACAAATAAAGTTGAAAATAGGGCAGAAGCAAACTAGAAGAAAGGTTGTTTTAATTTTATACAGAATATTTCACTTGCCTATCATTTTCTGCTTGTATGGATTCTGCCTAAGTATAGGGAATTCCTAGAAAAATATCAGTCCTGCCAATAGTGGGTAACTTCAGAGATAAATGCTGTATTCAAATGTGTAGATAGTTTAATACAAATGGCTTTTCTTTATTCATGCTTAACCATAATGAAGTTCAAAATTATTTTGAGAGCATTACATTTATCCAAGATGCAGTTTCCTCTCCAAGTTTCAATGTTGTCTCAATAATTTTGTGCTCCACTAAAGATTTCAAAGAATGAAGCTTTCTAAGTAGCAGTGACAGTAGATTAAGAAATACTTGGGAGTCAGGTAATGCTAAAATTAACAGTGACAAAAGGAAGGAACTTTCCTTAAAATACTATTAACCAGGGCTCCTGGGTGGTTCAATTGGTTAACCATGATCTCACGGTTTATGAGTTTGAGTCCCACATTGGGGTCTGCACTGATAATGTAGAACCTGCATGGGATTCTCTCTCTCCCTCCCCCCCTCTGCCCTTTCCCCACTCATTAGCTCTCACACACTGTGTGTTCTCTCTCAACATAATAGACTTAAAAATACTAATTACTTATTACAAGTGTTGGAAGCATAAGATAATTTTACCCAATAGATATTTGTTGATTAATTATTTTGTGCCTGGTTCTGTGTAAGGTCTTGGAAATAAAAGGTATAAAAATGCAGGTTCTAACCTTTGTAGCTCACAGAAAGGCAGCCACTTCTGTGCTCCCACCCGACATACATTACACAATTAGTTTTAATTTAAGCTAGACTATAATATTTCTTAAGACAGGATTCATAAAGGGCAGGACTATGGATCAAAACAGCAGGGAAAAAAAAAACAGAAAAAGATAACCTTCTTTAACAAGAAAAGTAGATAAAGTAGGCAAGCCAAGGCAGCAGAATGCTCTGCCTTATTGGAATGTTCCAGTCTGAGGAATGTACCAACAATGGGCTCTTCATAGCTAGCTAGTCCACTGAGCTTTCTGATGTACCTGATGACAAAAACTTGTGTTTGAATAAATCACTCCTTCCTTATTTGTAACTCCCCATTGTTGCAATGAAAATAACTTTTTACTTGTTATACAATATGTATTTATTTAAAATAAATAGAATAATGTATAAAAATATATGAAACAAAGTAAAATTCATCTCAAAGTCCACCACAACTTTTTTTGGTGCTTTCATGTATTCATCTTCTGCATATAAAGCATATTATTCTATGCAGATTTATAGATAATCTGCTTAACAGGGACTCCTTTCTACAATATTTGTTACCTCTCCTCTTACCCACATTTCACACCCTAACAGAAAACTAACAGGGGTGGCTGGGTGGCTCAGTCAGTCAAGCATACAACTTTTGATCTCAGCTCAGATCATGATCCTAACAGTTCATGAGATCGAGCCCTGCATTGGGCTCTGCACGGTCAGTGTGGAGATCCCCTCTCTGTCCCTTCCCTGCTCACTCTCCTTCTCTCTAAATAACCTAAAAACAAAACAACAAAAAGAAAATCACAACCCAGTATATATTCTTCTAATCCTTACATACTTTCCTTCACCATGACTTTTTGCTCATATGCTCCATTTTCCTTTATGTGTGACACAAACACACACACGCTCTTCTCACTTGCTTTTCTCATGGAAATTTCTCCATGTTGAGCAAAGTTTAATAAAACCAAGAATCACAGATTCTGATAAAATGCAGATTCTGACTCAGCTGTAGCATGATCCCCAAGATTCTCTGTTTCTAACAGTCTCAAAGTGATGCCAAACTTGCTCTGTACACAATACTTTGAGTACCAAAGTACAGAAATCTAGCATACCCTTTAATATGGTGTATTTGTACTCCATTCCACCATTTATCTAACAGCTCTCCAACTATTAGAGGTTTTCACTTTGTTTTGAAGTTTTACTGACACAAAAATTAGAGCAGCCCTCCTCATTTCTAGATGTCTTATAGGTCACCTGTTTCCTACTTGTGTGTAACCTGGGGCCCAATCAACCTAACAAGGTACTATCAGCTTACTGTGTTTACTGCCTCCCTACCAACCATCTGACAGAGCTGCCATTCCCAGGTCTCTTAAACAGTACACTCTCCAGGCTTGCTACCACACTTCTTAGACCATTCAATCTCACCTTTGGGAGAACTTAAGATGTTAAAGAAACAATACAGGAATGAATGCCGTCTAAGTCTGTTGAATCCATCACTACCATCCACAATTGCTAAACATCCCAGATCTTGAAGAAACCAGAGTTAGCACTTACAGAAACAACTTATTTTAACATTTAACAGCTTGGGACATCATAAACTTGCAGAGTCTTGGAATTGAAATTCCCTTTTTAAAATTTACTTTTCTGATCTATTAAATTTTTATTTTAAGTATTTCTCTCTCATCCTAGAATGTCCATGTTATTATTTCCTGCCTAGATTTAATTTTCCCTTGCTAAATTGTTTGAATGTTTATCATAAAGAATTGTCCTTCTCAAAACATTGTGTGGGGATCTAACTACAGGTTTGGCACTTTCAGTTCTTTATGTTAATGTCATTTTTGCTACTTTAGTAATCGCATATACCTTTAAGCAGATAGTAACGTACAGTCAATGTTCTTCTTTTACAGGTTCAGAACATGTCCCAGTCTATTGAAGTCTTAAACTTGAGAACTCAGAGAGATTTCCAATATGTTCTAAAAATGGAAACCCAAATGAAAGGGCTGAAGGCCAAGTTTCGGCAGATTGAGGATGACCGGAAGACACTAATGACCAAGCATTTTCAAGTAGGTTTGACTTCTGCAATCTTGTCAATCCAAATCAGACACTGAGTGCAGTGGACAGCCAGCATGGCAATCAGCTAGATATAATTGTGCATTGGCCCATATGTGCAAGGTTAAAAACTCACTGGGGACATCAATCATCTCTCCTCTGAAACTGACCATTAGCCAGTAGGGATGCTTAGACAACTTGCTATAAAAAGAGCCTAATCCTCTTAGCGATTGGTGGAGTTTCTGGATAGATTTACAGGCAGTTCAATATCTAAGACGAGGGGAAATCTCAAGGAAAAGTAATAACTAAATTTATCAAAGTTTTTTTCTGATGACTTTATGTCCTGCTAATACGAGGAGACCTGTAGAGAATAGAGATTATTAACAGTGGCAACAATATCATTATTAATATCATACAAAAATAAGAAGGGGGCTGTTTCCTCATTTTACACAAAATCTTTTCTTAGACTGTAAGTTATTTTTTGGCAATTATCTGGAAACACTGAAAATAGAGAAATAGTGTTTTTAAGCATGCCACGTGGGCTTTTAGAACCTACATATGACAGTGCCATAGATTTTCAAAGTCTCACTATGATACTACCATTTGAACCTGTATTAAAGAGAAATTATCTGCCTCCAAGGGGATAGCACATCATTTATAAAACATACTATGGTTTTATAAACATAATGGTTTGTTTTCCTTCCCTTCTCTAATGAGCCAGAGTCACTGCTGATGGTGAGGGAGTGGGCCTGAATTTAAGTGTCAGAAGTGCTTTTCACACAGAATGGTGAGAGCAGGGAGCCACTCAGGGACATGTAACAGGATCTCCGCATAGCACATTTTGATATGGCAGATATTTTCATGGCTTTCTCATTTTCTTCAGTGGTGCTCAGGAGGCTGAGTAGGAATGTACAGAAAGCAGTTTTTGCACGTAACTAATTTTAAAGTTTCACCAGAGTGGGGCAACTGGGTGGCTCAGTCGGCTAAGCACCTGACTTTGGCTCACATCGTGATTTCACGGTTCAGGAGTTGGAGCCTCACATCAGGCTCTGTGAGGACAGCTCAGAGCCTGCTTCAGATCCCGCATCTCCCACTCTCTGCCCATCGCCCACTCACTTTCTGTCTATCTCTCAAAAATAAAGTTTTACCAGGGAGGTACAACAGAAGGAAAAGGGGGGACAAGAGATGAGGCTCAAGTTTAAACTGAAGAGCAAAACCAGGAGGTTATTAGAATAGATTAGAGCAAAGCTCAGAAGATACAATAAATGTAAATATAATTGGAAATGAGAGAATGAGTGAACTGGAGGAGTACAGGATTTATGAGGGAATGGTAAACAGCGAAAAAAATATAAGGCTGAGGGGCAAATGAGTTGATGTTACCCAGTATTTGCTGAGCATGCACTGTGTGCAAGGCAATGCTGGGCCCTCTGATGGATGGATAAGGATCTCTCTTCTATGAAAGACAACTCAAACAAGGCATGTGAAATTGACAGCAAATAGAAACCTATATTATTTAGCAGCACGAAGAAAAGAGAAATTTAATTTTATTTAGAGAAGATCAAGGGAAGAGTGAGAAAATCTGGAAATTTTCAAGAAAGCAGTTTTGGATTGGTGCCAACACACACACACACACACACACCCCAAACAACCAACCAACCAACCAACCACCTGAATCACAGAGGATATGGAGAGAACCAGAAGATCTGAAGATTCTCAGTGTTCAGGGTTAGGGTGTAGACTGCCGAGGAGTAACATGAGCCTAATGCCCAGGCCATCACCAAAGCAGGAAATGGCGAGCTGGCACTGCCAGCACAGGAGAAGCACTCCCAGAAAGGAAGAAGGACAGAAGGAGAGGTGCTCAGGGTGTCTGGCGCACAGTGAAAATTATTCATGCTCAGATGGACAATGCAGAACTCTGCGATGCCAAGGGACAGTTTCAGGACTCCAGGCCTGGCAGGGTGGGAAACGTGATGAAACACGCGCATCTGTGGGGACTCTTGAAAGAAGATCAACTCAAAACACCACAAAGCTGAGAGAAAGTCAAAATCATTGGTCTTTTCTGTAAGTTTGCCTAGTAGCAGCCAGGCTGCCAATAAGAAAACTTAATTTTCAGGCAGCACCATATGACATAATGATTTTGATTTTACTAGTTTCTAAAATCCAAGTAGATACTGAAGTCGTATGTAAAAATCCATTATTTTTCTGAAGAATTATATTCAACATACGGTTTTGACACTCTAATTACATAATGAATAATTTAATCTTCTCAATACTATAGAGTAAGATCTATATTTATCTCCCTCATTCAGATGAAGAAACTGGTGTAATTTGTTCAGCCTTGTATATCTAATGTTCATCAGAACCACAAAGTCCAGCTCTAGAGGTAAACCTCCTAATACCAATGCTGCATTGCCTCTCTAAGTTGACTACAGATGATACTTAGGAATAATAATGACTTGCTCAATATGTTTGTATATTGTTGAATTTATGTATTCACTGAATCTGCCAACTCATCATCTCTCCAGTCAGATTTATATATCCAGTCAGATTTGGCACTATGTACTCAGGTGCCATATTTGAGAACAAGAACTGGAACATTCCACATTAACATCCATCAAAGAATCCTTTTAGATGGAAGAAAATCCTCCTCTGGTAAACTATTTTCAACTTAGCAAGAATGCGAAGTACATTTTGTCTTCTGTACTTTGAGAGAAAGAGAGGGCATGCATGAGCAAGGGAGGGCCGTGGAGGGAGAAATGTTGTTTTCCTTGATGTTCTTTGTTTGAGGGAGAGAGAGAGACACAGAGTGAGAGACAGAGAGAGAGAGAGAATACAAACAGGAGAAGGGCAGAGAGAGAGGGAGACACAGAATCAGAAGCAGCCTCTAGGCTCTGAGCTGTCAGCACAGAGCCTGGGGGGGGAGTGGGTGCTCAAACTCATCAACAACTGCAGGGGTGCCTGAGTGGCTCAGTCGGTTAAGCATCCGACTTCGGCTTAGGTCATGATCTCACGGTTTGTGGGCTCTGTGTGGACAGGTAGCTCAGAGCCTGGAGCCTGTTTTGGATCTATAGCTCCCTCTCTCTCTGACCCTCTCTTGCTCACACTGCCTCTCTCAGAAATAAATAAATACATAAATAAATAAATAAACAAACAAACATTAGAAAAAAAACCTCATCAACTGCAGATCATGACCAGAACCAAAGGTGGACACTTAACTGACTGAGTCCCCCAGGTGTCCCGAGAGAGGGAATCTTATGTAGGCTCCATGCTCAGTGCAGAGCCCAATGCGGGGCTCAATCCTACCAGTCTGTAATGATAACCTGAACTGAGCTGAGCTTAAATCGTGTCTGACACAACTGACTAAGCCATCCAGGCAACCCTCTTCTATTCTGTTGAAGATGAAAATCTTATTCTAGTCATCATACTTGAGACTATCATTCTTGTATGAAGAGATCATGATTGGGCAAGATAGGCTAGCTACCACCTTTGCTTTAAGAGCAACAAAGTGAAGTAAAATTCTGGAAGAAATAAGTAAACATCTGTGCTATTCTGTTTTAACCTTTTAAGAATCTGATATGTATACTGGTGAAACTTTCCATTGTTCCCTGACTAGCATCCAGAGTTTCAAAACTGATTACCAATAATCAGAGTATGAATTTTTGAGAAGATCCAAAAAATGTAATTAACTATTATTTTTTATTTCAAGGGGAGAGAAAGTCACCAAAATTTTGACACCATATTGCTTTCTTTTCAGTATCCCCATTGTGTAACATAAAACTCTTCATAGTAACTGTTGCTATAATATGTAGCAAATGCTACCAACAGAACTCTTATTAAAATCATAATGAAGCAATTGTGTTTTCCTTTTGGGATGCCACACATACTCAAACTAATAAGTTTATTTCAAAATGGGCCACCAAAATGAGTTAAGCTATGCAATTCCACCTTTTCACTGTGGTATTTATGAATCTTTCTCATTAAGACTCTATCTCCTCCCTCTCAACGTGGACATATAGACATATTCAAAAAACATCTGAGCTTACAGAACAAGTGGAAATTTCCCCTCAAGGAACATAAGCACATAAATCAGGGTGCCAATGGGAGCTCCTGCTATTTTAATACATTTATAGTAATAACATCTTCCAAATGTAATTTTAAAATGCAATTTTCAGCTCCTTAGTTAGTGTACAGCATGGTTTCTGACAGCACCTATGGATTATTCTCAAATGATCATCACAGTGACAGCTCTTTCCACAAATAAGATCATCTGTTAAAAAAAAAAAAAACTTCACAACTGAGTCACCTCATGAAATACTTTCACTTACTACTACCACCAAATTAAAGGAAAAGAAGAGGTGACACACCTAGACCTTGAAAGTAAAAACTGCAAGTGGGGCTCAGTTGCACGATGCTAGGAATGAGAGACACCATGTTGCAAAATATGCTTCTTGTTGTCCTGATGAAAAATCAACTCTGCAGTTTCAAACAACTCTGTATAGCTAGGTCCTTTGTTCCATCAACTGTGAGCAAGTGCTCACTATTTAGGTAAGCAACTCTGCCTTACTAAAAGAGCTCTGAATTATCTGTGCTAAGGCAAATGGAGTCAGAGTGCAGCTAATAATTCAAAATGGTACACAGCAGCATGCATTTGAGATTTGAGAAGCTTTGCATGATTTATTACACTTGCCGAACTTACCTTCCTAATGATGCTATGCTAAGATGGATATTAAACAGAATGAGGAATACCTGAGCACTGGGAAGGACAGAGTGGTAGACGGCCATTGTTGGAAGTATTCTAAGTGTTACAGAAAAAGCTGTTGTTCTAGGATCCAAAATTTCCTTTAAGTACCTCCCATAATATAGATAATTAGCTGTTGGGTAATTAGACTTGACAGACATAGGGTATTTGACCTATTTCTGGTAATTCGTAATCAGAAGATAGATACTGATTTTATTTGCTGAATCAATACTGCACTGTTCACTTTATAACATGCTACCAGAAAGTGAAATAACACATAAACCCTTAAATGCTACAAGAAGTTTTTGTAATTATGATAAGGATCAATTTACTAGAAAAGCATGTAACCATTTAAAGAGAAGTTCCTGTATTGAGATAAATGGATTTACTACTACTGATGACAGTAGCCACTTACATGTTCACAGTACCTAATTTTAACCAAAGATCAGTATGAATTTTGATATACTTTGATATACAAATATGCAATCATTATGTTGTATACCTGAAACTAATAGGTTACATCCTGATTATACATTAATAAAATTCTTCTAATTTCAAAGGAAAGGAATTTTGAATCTGTTTTAATAATCTCCTTTAGGTATCATATTAAAAAGAACGTAGCTGCTTTATCTGTTTAAATCACTCTCCGAAACAATTGGCTGCTTTTTGCAGGAGTTGAAAGAGAAGATGGATGAACTCCTGCCCTTGATTCCAGTGCTGGAACAGTACAAAACAGATGCCAAGCTAATCACCCAGTTTAAAGAGGAAATCCGGAATCTGTCTGCCGTCCTCACTGGGATTCAAGAGGAAATTGGCGCCTATGACTATGAGGAACTGCACCAAAGGGTGCTTAGCCTAGAAACCAGGCTTCGTGACTGCATGAAAAAGCTGAGTGAGTAGAACACTGAATTATCTTTTTAAGTGGTTTCAATGAAAACTGCATTCTTACACTCTGCAAATAATCATGAATACCTACCTAACTATAGGGAAACTGATGCCTGCTTTCTAAGTGTAAAGTAAGTATTCCTTAATGACTGAAGCATGCCTGTATAATCAATATTACTTGACTAACAGTTGCCTAATTTTCAGAGCACCCTGTTCACATTTGGTGACTTGAAATAATACAGACCATTCTATTGGCTACACTAACGGCAACAGGTTATTACAGACAGATAATATGTGATAGTCCATCATTGCTTGGCTAGAGGGAAAGAGAGGCATTTTTGGTAGTGGAGAAAGTTAGAGGCTAGGAAAAAAGTAGTTACCCTGGGACCAAATATGAAACAGCAATGATTAAATGAAACAAAAACAATTCCTCTACTGTAGACAGTGGTCATCAGTTGGCTGTTGTGATTCACACAAGACATAAAAAGGTGACACCTACTCAAATACATATTCACTACTCTGCAAGGGGCCAAGTATATGACATGAGATATGGACTCTAGTCCTGGATTCCTTCTAGTTCAACCTGGTCTAAATATACAAACTCTTCTGCTGTATTCATGAGGTAATTATTCAGCCAAGATCATCATGGGAGTAGTCTCTAACATGCAAAATAAATACATGGACACAAAGTGAGTAAGGAGAAACTGTTAAGACCATTTAGGAATAGTATTTTAGTTGCTGACATGAAGTAACATGACAAAAAGGACAAGTCAATGACTACAGAAAAGTATTTTCCCAAGGGGGCTGGGGGGGGGGCGGCTTTTCTGGAATAGAAAATAAACTATAGAGAGGAGTAAAAAATTTGGTAAAGATAATTTCTAGTAAGGACGACTTCAGAGAATAAATGTAAACATTTAAAACTTGAATGGCTGACAAATATTTTAAAGACTATTTTACAAATTCAATTCAAATGAAAAAAAGGTGAATATATAAGAAGTTGCATTCAGTACAGCTGAAAATGTGAGGAACTGCCACGTTAGAGGCCCCACTACCATAACCCAGGGTATCCAAGAGATTTCAACAAAATTACTCAGAAGGCAGTTAACAAAACCCTAAAGCTAAACACAGGAAGCTTCAGCTCCTTATTCCTCATGAGCCAAGGCCCACACTTTTTCACCTTAACTAGTCTCCTAACAAACATGACAGCAGTGGATTCCGTGTCTCCCATTCTTGCACCTCTTCACTCCTTGTCCACATTATTGCTAAAAGGATTTTTTGCAGCATCCATCTGAAATTCCACTGCACCGCCGAAACCCTCCTATGAGCGACTCCTTTACATCCTGTGATATAGTCCAGTTTATGCAGCCCTCCCTACCTCTCCCACCTCACATCCTGCCACTCCGCCCCTCACACGCTACATACATCCCAGTTATGTGTGTTCTCAACTTTCTCATCCGAGTCGGGAGATGCTGTCCCTTCCCCTGAACAGTCTGTCCCCTGTTTATCCTTTCTGTGTCAGCATTTGCCACATGAGACAAACTCCCATTCATTCTTCGGGTCTCAATTTAAATGTCACGTCTTGCCACACTCCTTCACTGACCTCCTTATGTATACTGTGTGCCCCAGCTAGGTGCTCCCAAACCCTGGTATGTCACCAACGATTGGACTTTTCAAGCTTCATTATCATTGCATGTGTAATTGGATGGCTATCTTGCTAGATTTTGTTCCCTGGGAACAAGAACAATGTCTATAATACTCCCTCTAAATATCCTAGTCCCCAACGTCTAGAAAACTATCTAGTAAAGAAAAATTACTCAGTAAATATTTGTTAAGTTCTATAAGGCATCATATAGTAACAATTTATAAATTTCAACAGAGTAAATATTAGCTATTTCAAATCTTATTTAAAAAAAATAAAAGCTTTCTTAGCCACATATTTGAATCAAGTGGCACAGGACTGACAGACTAAGCAAAAGTTATTTATCACTTAAATATTTCCTTATATGCTGTTCCCGTATAATTAATGTTATAAAGCTTATTGCTAATAGGTAAATATTACTGATATAAGTGATATTTTTATATATTTTTTAATGTTTATTTATTTATTTTGGGAGGGGGCGGGGCATAAAGAGGGAGAGAGAATCCCAAGCAGGTTCCACACTGTCAGCACAGAGCTGGAGGCAGGGCTCAAACTCAAACTGTGAGATCATGACCTGAGTCAAAATCAAGTCAGACACTTAACCAACTGAGTCATGCAGGCACCCCAAGTCACATTTTATTTTTAAAACTACATAGATTACCAGATGAAGCCTTGACCAAACCTGTTAAGAAAATCTCAAGCCAAGACTTGGTTGAGTACTTTCAATGTCTAAGTTACCTTGGGGGTTACCAAAAAATATCCAGATCCATTTTTATTAGCTCAGAAAATATTTAACGATTTTCTGTAAATGACAGTGCGCAGGATTGGTCTGTGTACGGCTTTGACTTGCTTTGAAAGGGGTCTGGTTGTTACAGATGAATTGCTCCAGAGCCTGAGAATCAATTCACTTGGTTGTTCCTAGCATCTCGCAATAAACGGAAGCCATAGGCTTTTACAGTGACACCAGTTATCTGCTAAGTACACATGCAGTTGGCCAAAGGAAGGGCAGGCAATAGAATAGTTCTAGCCAATAGGGGTGCCTTTGTGGCTCAGTTGGTTAAGCAAGCAACTTCGGCTCAGGTCATGATGTCCCAGTTCGGGACTTTGAGCCCTGCATCAGGCTCTGCACTGACAGCTCAGAGCCTGGAGCCCATTTTGGATTCTATGTCTCCCTCTCTCTCTGTCCCTCCTCTGCTCATGCTCTGCCTCTTTTCTTCAAAAACAAACAAACATTTTAAAAAATTTTTTAAGAAGAAAAAGAATAGCCAGTAAACACCTTGAAAACCTTAAAATGTGCCAGCCAGGTTTCTGAGGGACTAGCATGGAAAATTCTTTGAATTTGCTCAGTTTTTAAAAATGAATTTCACTTCTAACATAAATACAGAGTTGACTCAGCTAGAAATAATGTCTACCACAGTTAGGAAAGGAAATCTACACACCTCTCAGCTCTTTCATAATCCTGTGTTTTTAACCCACATATAACTTCCCTGCACACAGCCCCCTTCAATATTGAAAACTATATTTGGGGAAAATGGCTTTAATTTAAGTAGACACAAATTTATCCTATTCCTCCTTACTGAAACATGGATGATGTTTCCATGGTATCCTTAAGCCTTAGGACTGAAATCCACAATGTATATTTTTTTTAATTAAAGGTTCTTTTTATTAATTCTCCTTCATAAACAAAATTTGAAAGAATATGATGGTCAAAGAAACTGCATTAACTACTTAATACTTCATTTTAACTAACCAGAAACAGAACCTAGCAACTAATACAAATATTAGACAACAATAAATGGTATTCAACTTTCTTAGTTCATGAGATGGTATTTGAATTAATTGATATGTCCTTACAAGAGACTGAAAATAATTCTCACATGTTATAAACTCTTTCCTGGATTATTAGCAGCTCTCAGATCCCTACTTACCTAGTAGATAGGCCTGTGACTCAAAGGACTCCTGTAACTCACTTAGGCCTTTTGTTCTAAGAACTGGGTACTTTTCTCCATCACACCATTTTTATGTCAAATAAGCAAACCTATCTATTGAGAGTCTCTTAAGCAAAGAGGATTATTTATCAACTGGATCATAATTATTACAAAGTAAAAAACATGTTCAGGTAGAGAGAGACAGCCCTTATTCCATGAAGCATGAAGTCACATAGTCCCTGAAAAAATGATGTAATCTTCATGTGGTCCATTTAAAAATTTCTCTAGTTTGAAAGGAAGTATCTAATACCTATATTTCCAGAAGAAAACACAAACACATGATCATGAGTGGTGTCTTAAGTTATAGTTTTATTAATACTACTTAGTATTTATACCTCCCGGAAATTAATAAAGATTGGATCCTATGATCTCCGAGAACCCTTTTAATGCCCTGCCTACTATTAATTTTTAAGTAAATGCCAGATTATCAAAATATCAGATCCCATGGACTCAAAAAACAGGTATAAATCAACATCAGGGCCATTAACAGGAAATGTAGGGGGAAAAAAAAAAACCATCAGGAGTTCAATGTTCCAAAAGCATCTAAAACCCAGTTGCCGTGCAATTTGGATTTACAGTGGGACACTGGATAATTACAGTATCCTCAATACAGTAACAGGAGCGAGAAGGCTCATCCATCAATGGCAACTTCACTCTTCACAAAAGCCTTTTAACACAAACAACCAATTAGCAGAGGGCAGAAATAGACTGGGGAAAGAATAAAATTGCAACAATGATGAATGCATTTCCACTCACCTTTTCAATGAATTTGCTTTCAGTAAAAATGCCACACTGTATATCACATAAATTTTAAGATACTAAAAAACAAACTAGCCCCTCATTGCCTACAAGGTCTAAGTTACTCTCAAATAGGAAATAAGGCGCTGAAGGAATCACAAGTCACTGAGAGTACTAGGATACCATTCGGCTTATTCCTACTAGAGAATTAAAGTTTTTGAGAAAGTATGGGGCGCCTGGGTGACTCAGTCGGTTAAGCATCCGACTTCAGCTCAGGTCATGATCTCACGGTTCGTGGGTTCGAGCCCTGTGTTGGGCTCTGTGCTGACAGCGAGCCTGGAGCCTGCTTCAGATTCTCTATCTCCCTGTCTCTGACCCTCCCATGCTCATGCTGTCTGTCTGTCTGCCTGCCCCTCTCTCTCTCTCTCTCTCTCTCTCTCTCTCTGAAATAAATAAAAACATTAAAAAAAAGTTTTTGACAAAGTAGAAGTTGGGGAGGAGTGGGGGGAAGCTTCAACAGTAATGCACTCTAGCGGCCTGAATGAAGTACAGTAATGCTCTTTCCTAAGCACTTAATTTTCTCCTTTGAGAGACTGAATAAAGTCACCTGTGCTTAAGTATCCCATTCTTAGACATGTAAAA